CGAGTCAAGTGTTCCTGTGCCCCGTGTTCCAGTCAGCCCCGAGCCCAAGTGTCCAGTTCCCCCGAGTCCTCCGAGTCCAAGTGTTCAGTTCCCCCGAGACCTCCGAGTCCAAGTGTCCAGTTCCCCAGAGTCCTCCGAGTCCAAGTGTCCAGTTCCCCCGAGTCCTCCGAGTCCAAGTGTCCAGTTCCCCCGAGTCCTCCGAGTCCAAGTGTCCAGTTCCCCCGAGTCCTCCGAGTCCAAGTGTCCCAGTTCCCCGAGTCCTCCGAGTCCAAGTGTTCCCAGTCCGAGTGTATCCGAGTCTCCTGAGTCAAGTCTTCGAGTCCCCAGTCAAGTCTTCGAGTCCCCAGTCAAGTCTTCGAGTCCCCGGTCAAGTCTTCGAGTCCCCCGTCAAGTCTTCGAGTCCCCCGTCTAGTCTTCGAGTCCCGAGTGTTGTGTGGCCTTGTGGGCGTCTGGTATCCGCCCCTTGGGGGGGGGGGGGGGGGGGTACTGTCACGATCTGCCCCCTCCCTCTTGACTGTGTCTCTCTCCTGCCCCAATTAGTCCATATTGTTTTCACCTGTCCCTCGTTAACCTGCCCATGTGTTCCCAATCAGCCTTGTGTATTTATACCACATGTTTTGCTCCTGTCCTTCGTCAGATCATTGTTGTTTGTTGTCACCGTTGTGTTTGTTCCTGCCGTTCCCGTTCTGTGATTAAATTCATTTTTACGTTCTCCATGCCTGCTCTTCTGCCTCCGGAACCCACCACCACACATGGTCCACCATCTCCAGCCACACATCGTGACACAAATATGGGAACTATCCGGTCAACACAAGCCCTGCTTTTAACTGTTCTGTTTTCTTGTGAAAATTGTTGCAAAGAGATATAATTTAACTTGATTATCACCAGAGCCAGGCGCACTGCACCGTTGTTTCCGTCGCTGTAAATGAGGGAAAAACAAAATGATCGGATCCTTTTCTGACCTTCCCCACCTACAAAGTTTAATTACAACAATCAAACGTGACAGAGCCTGGATTTGTATTCTGAACAGTCTAAACATGTTTTAAAAAGAAACGTATGACAAAAGTGGCACCTGCTCAGTAAAACCACCAACAGGGTGAAAAATATCAAAATATTGTAGGCAGAGACGTGCTACAACTTCTGGATCCACTGTATATAAATTGTTTTATTGATTATCTTCTTATGAAAGATAACTTTGATGTACATGAGCGACCGGTACTGGCTGCTGTCACCTGTTGTGATTGGTTAAAGCAGCTCTCTACTGTCTGCGGGTAGGCCCCGCCCACAACACCACTTTTTTCCCTCCCCCAACTTATCCTCATGTAATTCCCTTTTCATCTATTATGGTAGCGCGACTCGTGTTGTGAATGACTGCAGTCACCAATTCTTGTCATGTGTCTTGCCCATGTATGTCTGATCTCTGAATTGTGTGTACTGAAACTCAATTTCGTTTCTCTGTATGTCTTGCACATGTGGTAGAAATGACAATAAATGACTTTGACTTTGACTTTGACTTTGCTGTGGCTCCCAGTGTTTTCTTTACTGTGGGAAACGGGTAATCATGGCTCTTTGATGGGAACAGGTTGCCGACCCCTGGCCTAAACCATACCCTAACTAATGGTGTTCTATTCCTAACCCTAATCTGAACCAAAAGTTAACTCAAACCATACCTCTAAAACCAAGTTTAAGGGTATTTAGACAATGTGTGGACCAGTAAAATGTCCCCACTAGGTACACATTTACAAACACTACAGGTTTAATGTTCAAATTTGTCCATTTAAACTCACTCACTGGCCACTTTATTGGGTACACCTGTCCAACTGCTTGTTAATGCAAATTACCATTCAACCAATCACATGGTGGCAATTCAGTGGATAGACAAGTTGACATAGTCAAGATGGTCCACTGCAGTTCAAACCGAACTTCAGAATGGGGAAGAAAGATGATTTAACTGACTTTGAATGCTGCATGGTTGTTGGTGTCAGAGGGGCTGGCCTGGGTTTTTCAGAAACTGCTTATCTTCTGGGATTGTCACACACAACCATCTCTACGGTTTACAGAGAATGGTCCGAAAAAAGGGAAAACATCCAGTAAGTGGCAGTCCTGTGGGCGAAAATGCCTTGTTGATGCCAATGGTCCGAGGAGAAGGGCCTGATATAAAGCAACAGTAACTCAAATAACCACTCATTACAACCAACATGCAGAAGAACATCTCTGAACACACAACACGTCGAACCTTAAGGCAAATGGGCTACAGCAGCATAAGACCATGCCAGGTGCCACTTCAGTCAGCTAAGAACAGGAAACTGGGGCTACAAGTTCCACAGGCTCACCAAAACTGGACAATCAAAGATTGGAAAAATGTTGCCTGGTCTGATGAATCTTGATTTCTGCTGCAACATCCGGGTGGTACAGTTAGAATTTGGTGTCAACACAACGTGAAAAGCATGGATCCATCTTGCCTTGTATCAAGGGTTCAGGCTGGTGGGGGCGGTGTAATGGTGTTGGGGACATTTTCTTACCACACTTTGGGCCCCTTAGTACGAATTGATAATTGTTGCCTACCAGTGTATTGCTGCAGAGCATGTCCACCCCTGTATGACCACAGTGCACCCATCTTCTGATGGTTACTTCCAGCAGGATAACGCGCCATGTCATAAAGTTTGAGTCATCTCAGATTTGTTTCTTGAACATGACAATGAGCTCACTGTACTCAAATGACCTCCACAGTCACCAGATCTCAATCCAATAGAGCAGCTTTGGGATGTGATGGAACGGGTGATTCGCATCATGGATGTGCAGCTGACAAATCTGCAGCAACTGCATGATGCTATCATGTCAGTATGGACCAAAATCTCTGAGGAATATTTGCAGTACCTTGTTGAATCTATGCCACGAATGATTAATGCAGATCTGAAGGTAAAAATGGGCCCAACCCGGTACTAGCTAGGTGTACCCAATAAATGAGCCGGTAAGTGTATATAAACTTATTTATTTAGAATGCTAAATATCACCCAATACAATCCTCTAAAATGTGACTAAATTAAATAAAGAAAAATGGGTTAAATCTAACTGGATTATTTATTTTATTTGATTAACAAATAGTACCCAAGTGTAATGGTTAGAGTTTAACCAAAAATATGGGACAAAATCCGTATGATTTCCTTAAGGCTCTAGATGTTGTAGGGATGTGTTGGCTGACACGGCTTTGCAATATCGCGTAGACATCGGGGCAGTTCCACTGGATCGGCAGACTGGAGTGGAGGTCCTATTTAAAAAGGGGGACCGCAGGGTGTGTTCCATCCAGTGGTGGCTCCAGAAATGTTTTTCTGCAGGTGCTATGAAGGAGCTAGTCTTTTTATTGAGGGTGCTATGAAGGAAGTGGTGCGTACCTATTGTTCTCTAAAATACCTTCAACACTAGCAGATACACATGCGTGCACAAAACCTCAACAACACCTGAAACAATCATTAATATGCATCATAAACATGTGAACAATCGCTGACTTTTCCATGAAATCATAAACACATACAGCCACACAGAAAACCATCTATAGTGTTGCAAGGTTAGCTAACGTTAGTGTTAGCATTTCCAGCGGCAAAACCCTCGACTGCTGCGGCGGTTGAGGGTTGACTCTCTTCATCCAGATCCGTAGGTTTTTGTGGGTCTGAGATCACTTCCAAAGATTCATTCGTTTCTGACTGAACCCGTGGAAATGTGGGCAACAAAAACCGATCCATTTTACCACTTTCACTCGTTCACAAATGAGGTCAAAGGTTAACATCAATTTCCTGTTTTGGTTTAAGTTTTTACTATATGATAATTTACTGATTATTTTTGTTTTGTATGTTAAATATTATCACATCCACACGTTAAATTAAAATTAAATTGTAAAAAAAAAAAAGAAATCCAATATTTACTTGGGGGTGCTATGGGGTGCAATGACTAATCCAGGGGTAGCTATAGCACCCCCTAGCGCCCCCCCCTGGCACCACCACTGGTTCCATCTACAGAGGGATCACACTTCTGAGCCTTCCTGGGTCTATTCAGGGGTTCTAGAGAGGAGGGCCAATCGCATTGTTGAACCTGAGATTCAAGAGGTGCAATTTGGTTTTCGTCCTGGCCGTGGAACACTGGACCAGCTCTAAACCCTTAGGGGAGTCCTAGATGGTGCATTGCTGGCAGTAAGTTGGGCTAATTTCTGGTGAGAGTTGGACACCGCCAATGCTGCACTTGTCAAGGATTCTGTTCAAAACTTTTATGGACAGGATTTCTAGGTGCAGCCAAGGTGTTGAATCCATTTTGGTGACCTGAGGATCGGGTTTCTGCTTTTGCAGATGATGTGGTCCTGTTGGCTTCATCAGACAGTAATCTCCAGCTCTCACTGGAGTGGTGTGCAGCCAGCTGTGAAGTAGCTGGGATGAGAGTCAGCTCCTCTAAATCAGAGACCATGGTCTTGAGTCGAAAAAGAGTAGAATGCCATCACCGGGTCATGGATGAGGTCCTGCTCCAAGTGGAGGAGTTTAAGTATTTCAGAGTCTTGTTCACGAGTGAGTCAAAGATGGATCGGGAGATCGATAGGCAGATTGGTGCTGCATCTGCAGTGATGCAGGAGTTGCACCGGTTAGTCGTGGTGTAGAGAGAGCTGAGCCGGCAGTCGAGCTACGTTCCTACTCCCACGGTCATGAGCTTTTGGTAGTGATCAAAAGAATGAAATCGCAGGTACAAGCGACCGGAATGAGTTATTTTTGCAGGGTGGCTGGGCTCTCCTTTAGAGATAGGTGAGAAGCTCTGTCATCCGGGAGGGGCTCAGAGTAGATTTGCTGTTCCTCCAAATCGAGAGGAGTCAGTTAAGGTGGCTCAGGATTCTGGTTAAGATGCCTTTTGGATGCCTGCCTGGTGAGGTTTTCTGGACACGTCCAACTGGGAGGATTCCCAAAGGAAGACCCAGGGCACACTGTAGAAACTATGTTTTTGGACTGGCCGGGGAATGCCTCAGGATTTCTCTGGAAGAGCTGGCCCAAGTAGCTGGGGAGGAGGAAGTCTGGGTCTCTCGTCTTAAGCTGCTGCCCCCGCAAACCGAGTCCGGATAAGCGGAAAAGAATGGCTGGCTGGCTGGCTGGATGGATGGATGGATGGAGCGTAACCAAAATATTAGCTCAGCACTGTATCCTATCTGGATTACCTGTTTTATATAACAGACAAATAGAACAATTGTATATGTTCAGTTCGGTGCTGTATTGGCTTTCCAGTTCAAGTATTCATGTAGTTACAGTTACAGAAGCACTTAAAAGGGAAATCTTTCAGCATGTCTAAAAAATCTTGAGCAACAGTGAATGCAAGTTCAGGTCAGCTTTTGTAAAACAGAACTATGCTTTTTTTTATTGCTTTCGGTTGAAGAAATCAGTGTTTATACCATTGTTGTACTGGGCAGCAGTATAGCCCAGAAGGCAGAGCAGGTGGTCCAGTAAGAAGGTTGCAGAATCAATCCCATCTCCCAGCATGTGTGTCCAGTGTATTTACTAATAAGTGTCAGGTTGATTTGACCCAATTCCTCGACCTATTAACCTAAAATGTTTTGGTACCAGGCTGCAAACATGTTTATTTACGCTGTAAAGTTGACCTTTTTAACATGGGAGTCAATGGGAAGTCAGCTCCTAGAGGATGAGGAGGGAACTGTGATTTATGTCACTTTTGTGTTGTTAGGCGGAGTGACGCTTGCTAGTGGCTAGAGACACGTCTGTGCACGTTAATTATCTCAATAACCTCATCTAACAAAAAAAAGTTTTTTTTTTTCAAATGACGGCATTTCTTTCAGAATAAAACACAGAACTACCACCATTGGATCAGACTAATTTATATGCTCCAAGACCCAGAGCTTCCTGAGATTTAAAGTTTCTTTTCCTTTCAGCTTATTAGAACAAAATGCTGGACTGTGTAAATAGTTTACTATTAATTCAACTCCCTCCAATGATGTAAAACACAGTCATTAATCCGTGCACCTTCTGTAACCAGTTCTTCCTGTACAGTGTTGTGAAAAGCTGATGCCTACGTCCAGCAGCCATCCAGAACAGGGTATAAAATAATAGTCATTGTTCCCACCTTTGTGGACAGAGTACTCTTAATAAAGTGGATATATTATAAGCAAGTCTTTAGCTCATTAAAAAATCCAATTATATTTTATGCTTCTTGTTAAAAGCTACATAACTTTGAATGAATTCTTTTTAAAAAAGGCATTTGTTGTTATTTTTAATGAAGCTATACTCACACTAAAAGTAGGCACTTACAAAGTCTTATTACGTTACAAATTCAGAAGGACACCGCCACCTTGTGTCCAGGTCTTAGGATGACAACTACATATATTAGATAAAAAATGTAATTAAAATGACACAAAAGCGCAAATATGTCAAAAGGCAGACCTTTATTCATTCATATGACAACACAGATGCTTTGTGGACCCGTGTAGGGTTTTGTTTTTATTTATAATTCATGTTCAAATTAGTTACTTTTGTCTCAGCTGCTGGAGGTGAATCTATTAATATTCTCTGTTATGTGTAAAACAATACACTAATATAAAATGTTCTATTTTCAAACAACATCTAAAATATTTAGAGAAATGGGCAAAATATACAATTTTCTATCACAACATGCAAAACAGTGATAAGTGAGTAATCATTTCAAACCACGAGAGTTTTTCGTACATTTAAAGGAAATCGGTAACTTTCTCAGTATTTATCAGGAAGACCTTTCGGTCGGAAACAGTTGGGATCACCTCCACTTCGTCCCCAGTGATTTGCCTTCTGATCGGCTGCAGAGTCCTCAGCATCAAAACCTGAAGATGAATATTTCTGCGCCATCTCCCTGAGATCACTGAAAGGAAAATTGTGCAATATTTTTAATCTTCAGAAGTTATATATGCATGTGTATAACTGTTAATATTATGTGTTTTTTGGGCTTAACCTGATCAAAGATTCATATTCAGAAACCTGATTTTCATCTCTCCGTCTGAGGCAAGAACCCCACCTCTGAAAATGTTTAGCAGGTAGATTCAGGTGTTTTGGTTGGTAAAGGTCTACAAAGACTCGACTCTTTAATTTAAGAATCAGTGGAATGTTCCTAAAATGACCCACCAGTTTGAGAATCTCAAGAATGTACAAAGATATAATTCTGACTCCACTTCAGTGTTTCTTCTGTAATTAACTTGTTTATCCTAACTCGTGATTTCAGAATTGTACTCTGAACTTCTCACCTGATGACTTCAGCAGCCCATACACCTCCTGGTCCTCTCCTTGCAGCATCAAAGTTTCCTCTGGCATGGAAGTATTTGTCAGCACCTATCCAGTTGGACTTTTTCAAGTCCCTGTAGGCTTTCCACATGTCATGACCTCCTAACCAGGACAACAGCAATGATGAAAAAAGCCACACTGAATGTAAATCATATGGTAAATGACCTGTGTTTGTATAGCGTCTTCTTGGGGTTCTACAACCCCCCAAGGCGCTTCACAACACAATCAGTCATTGATCCATTCACACACTCATTCACACACTGGTGGGGATGAGCTACGATGTACAGTAGTCGCAGCTGCCCTGGGACCCACGGACAGAGATGAGACCTGCTGAACACTGGCGCCACCGTTCCCTCTGACCACCACCAGCAGGCAAAGCGATTTATCACCCTCGGACACAACAGCAGTACTCTCTGGTGGGAGCCGGGATCAAATTCCACATATAAATCATATAATTTAAAATTAAACACTTTAACAAACCTTGAATAGCTTGGATGGGAAAATTTAAATCCACTGCTTCTGTTCCCACAATTAGAATCAGAGCAAGTCCTGCCAAAAGCAGCTTCATGGTGGGGGATGCCTAAAAACAGATTACAAAGATGTAAACACTGATATATATATATATATATATATATATATATATATATATATATATATATATATATATATATATATATATATATATATATAGCTGTTTAGGTCCAGCGAACTTTTACTTTCAGCCTCAACTCTTCAACCCCAACAGTAACACCTGTGACACTAGTGCCCCCTAGTGATCACCGTCATAACAGCATGTACATTACAGTACAATACACCACTATACATACACACACACACACACACATATATATATATATATATATATATATATATATATATATATATATATATATATATATATATATATATATATATACATATATATATATATATGTATATATATATATATGTATATATATAGTCTTGCTGTGTTTTAGCAGTGAAGAAAAATCATATTTTATCTTCTTTACAAGATTTTGCTAAAAAGTTTTCAAGAGAAAAGTTGTAATAGCATTGCTCATACTGAATTAGAACCACACATGAAACCGTTTGAGGTAAACGATCCAAACTCTGACATGTTGGCTCTGCAATACAGTTTAAATATAAATCCTATATTTAACAGCTCAAAAGCCACTGATGATGAACTCTTTCAAATCCATTTTAACAGCAACGCATGCTTTTATTACACTAACCTGAATGAAAGGTAAAATAATCCGATGGGACCACTGGATATTGTTTGGTCGACTCCTCTGCAGATCGAAGGAAAGTGTGGTAAAGTTGGAGTTTCCTTGTTCAGTAGGGGAGGCTTCAGGTTTTAAAAGCTACTGAACACTCAGAACGAAACTGAAACGGTTTTCTTTTAAACTGTCGGAGTTTTCTAATCTCGAAACAAAAGTGAAACAAACTCAATATCAGGTCTGCTTTCAGAAATACTCAAAAATTTCACAGATTGAAAATATTCAAGTTTTTGGGAACTGAAATGAATATGAATGAATAATATTCACTGTCAGAATTTTTATGCAGAAGTACACCATCAACACCCACAAGAACCTGGACAATGCTGGGTTGACTCCTCCCTGCAGAATATTGGAAAAAAAGTGTTTTAATGTGAACATTTATTTGTTCTGATGTTGATTTAGTGAGAAGACCGTCATTTACCAAAGCAAATGAAATAGTTTTTACACACACACACACACACACACACACACACACACACACACACACACACACACACACACACACACACACACACACACACACACACACACACACACACACACACACACGTATGATATGTATGCATGTATGCCAGCATCTTACACCTCAGGGGCCTCTTTGCATAGCCTACACCTTGGGAGACAAGACCCAAGGTGTAGGCTATGCAAAGAGGCATACATGGAACGCCACAACCAAGTGGCTGCCATTGTGTACAGAAACATCTGTGCGGAGTATGGACTTGAAGCCCCCAGGTCAAAGTGGGTAACACCCTCTCTGTAGTGGCCCCTAGGCTCTGGAATGCTCTTCCTTTGAGCATTAGGTCGGCCTCTGAAAATCTATTTTTATTATTTGGCTTTTAACTCTGCATGAGAGTCTTTTTAGTGTTTTATCACTAAACTAGTGTTAGTTCTTAAGCTTTAGTCTTCGTGCATTTTTATATTATGTATTGTTTTTAATTTCTGTGAAGCACTTTGGTCGGTTTTATACTGTTGTAATGTGTTATACAAATAAAGTTGGCTTGGCTAAAATGGCAGACAACGTTATGGTTGATGTGGCAATACCAAGTGATGGCAACATCAGGAAAAAGGAGCACAAGAAACTAGAGAAGTACCAAGACATCAAAGAAGAACTTGAGAAAGCCTGGAGAGAGAAGACATCGGTGGTGCCCGTGGTCATCGGGGCACATGGGGCAGGAGTGGCTAAAGCAGATCCCAGGAAAAACATCAAACATCTCAGTCCAGAAAAGTTCTAGGAACAGTTAACATAATGTGCAGAACCCTCAAGCTCCCAGGCCTCTGGCAGAGGACACGAGCTTGGAAGGATGAGATCACCCATGGAGGGTGAGATAGGAACCTATCTATCTATCTATCTATCTATCTATCTATCTATCTATCTATCTATCTATCTATCTATCTATCTATCTATCTATCTATCTATCTATCTATCTATCTATCTATCTATCTATCTATCTATCTATCTATCTATCTATCCATCCATCCATCCATCCATCCATCCATCCATCCATCCATCCATCCATCCATCCATCCATCCATCCATCCATCCATCCATCCATCCATCCATCCATCCATCCATCCATCCATCCATCCATCCATCCATCCATCCATCCATCCATCCATCCATAAGGTATTATAGTAATCCAACCAAATTCCTCTCACAACAAAACTGAAACTCAAGCAAAGGAATATTATATTAATGTAATGTAAGTATGGTGATTACATTTATCATTTTATTGAAACATCTCCATATATTTATTTTTTTAATTTTCTTAGTTTAGCAGTTTTTAAAAATCTTTTTAGTTACACTGGTGCAAGCAGGGCTGCACAGTGGCACAGTGATTAGAGCTGTTGCCTTGCAGCAAGAAGGTCCTGGGATCTTTCTGCATGGAGTTTGCATGTTCTCCCTGTGCATGCATGGGTTCCCTCCGGGTGCTCCGGCTTCCTCCCACAGTCCAAAAACATGACTGTTAGGTTAATTGGTTTGTCTAAATTGTCCTTAGGTGTGTGTGTGTGTGTGTGTGTGTGTGTGTGTGTGTGTGTGTGTGTGTGTGTGTGTGTGTGTGTGTGTGTGTGTGTGTGTGTGTGTGTGTGTGTGTGTGTGTGTGATTGTGCCCTGTGTGTCTCTGTGTTGCCCTGCGATGGACTGGCTCTCTGTCCAGGGTGTACCCCACCTGATTGGCCATTGACCGCTGGAGATAGGCAGATTACATGTTATTTAAAGGGTTAAAATAATTATTTGTAAAATGTAAGGAAAGTGTGTAAAAATATCATCAAAGTCTACAAAGTATGTTTTCCTATAAAAAGCATGGACTGAACAGTCACAAGGAAAACATACAGAAAAATGGACCTCTGCTAATGCATCGTGTTGAAACGTGTGGCTTTTCAGCCTTCTAAAAAGACTCCAAACTTTGACCAAAAACATAAAGCTGAATAAAGCTTAGCAGTTGGAAGGGACTTTTTTTCTTGTGTTTCAGTCCAACATTTTGCAACACGTGCATGGAATTTCCCCATCAGAATGACACTGAAAGCTAAAATTGAAGTAAAAGCAGAATTTTGGTCCAGCTTAAGGGACTGCTTGACTATAAGATTCAAACATGGCTTACAGATAAATAGACTTATAGACAGAAAGATGAATTTACTTAACCAAGTTATGTCCAATGGTTCTAAACCTAGTTGCAAATAGTAGACTTTGTTATGTAAAAGTAAATGCATATTACATTTAAGTAAGGCAAGGCAGCTTTATTTGTATGGCACATTTCAGAGAAGCAACTCAATGTGCTTTCCAAGAAAATATAGTGGAACATTCAACATTTCACGTTGTGTGCTTCTGCAAAAAGAAACGAAATAAACATTATAGTCAGTGCATTTTAAAGATAATGCCGTCATAAAAACTAACATGTGTTCTTTAGATTTGCTTTGTTGAAAGGCATTTAAATATAGTTTCATGTTTAGTAAATTATCACCCTGAGACACTTTCCTGCAAGTTAAAAATAAAAAAATGTAAAAAAAAAAATAATTACTGAAATGACTACCAACGATTCCCTTACTTTACGTAAACCAACTGCTCGCAAATATGGGAAATTCCCTGAATTGACTGCAGCTGATCGCTGAGCACAACTAGATGGCGCCAGAGAGTCACGCTCAGCGCGTGGCTCCGGGCGAACGTGAACGGCGAGTAAATAAACGCTCCTTATCGCCGGCGTGGGCCTATTGGCTGGGATGGCATGATGATGGTAATGGAAGCGCACAGGCTGCTCATGACAATGACTCCAGCGAAACGCGTGAGACAGACTCGGCACGTGAGCAGATACTCGTTCAAACCACAAGTTGGGCTGGTTGTGCGTAAAAGACCAAATTCCTCTCACTGATTACTGTGACTACATGACCACATCAGGGTGATCAGGGCTGTCATGCGCTCTTATCAACAGAGACAAGGCTCAGGAGGCACTTTATGATCACATTTATTCTGATTAAAAGCAGCTGGACTGTTAAATAGAACTGACACGGGTACAAATTTTCTCCTTTTTTTGTGGAAGGGATGAAATGCCAGCACAAGCAGTTAGTTTTGGTTTCTCCAGGAGAAAGCATCGGTGTGCAAGACTGAGATGAGATGGTCAGCAGCACCGAAGGCGCACGGGTTCCTCGCGTAGACGACCTCCTACCGACTTGTTTCACGTCACCCCGCCCGTCTCATCCTTTAAACCCTTTCCTCTCCGACCTTCTCTGTTTGAGCGACTTCGGGCTCGGGCAACACATAGCTACACAGAGATAAAGTGATCCAGACACTTCCAGCATCACCTGCTCCACCAGGAGAAGAAGGAAGGGAGGAGGACGCACAAGTGCAGGCGCGTCCGTGCGTGCATGCATGCCAGCCGAACCAAAAGGGGACACATATTTAATTGGAATAAGAGTTTACCTGGAGACCTCTTTGTTTTTGACC